TATTTTTTTATGTTTAATTTTTTTTTTTATTTTTTAATTTTACACTGGATATGATTACACAACTTTTTTTACTTTATTTTATATGCAGCCAATTAAATAGAACCAAAATCTTTAGAATGCGATGATATTGCTTTAATTACTTTGCAAATATCCAATCAAGTAGGAAAAATAATTCTCCCATACAGAGACAACCAAACAATTTCAAAATATTCAAGGCACACTACATTTGCTTTACTATGTATTCCATTTACTTCCTATTTTTTTCCATGAAACAAAAAAAAAAACCCATGTGAATTATGTAAAATCTGAACTCATATAGACTTCGTGTGGGACAGTTTTATTATTGCTTTCTAAAATAATCTAAACTCATATATGCTTTCTAAAAAAATTTGTACATAAAAATTGCTTTAAAAAACAGAAAGAAAATGGTTGCATATATGCTTTCTTGGTTGATAACCAAAGCTCCCAACCAACATATTGGGATGAGTTGCATCGTCAAAGTTATTCAGGAAACCTTCAAAGAAGAGAAGACTGCGATGGGAAAGAAATGGCCCGAGTTAAAAGAAACAATACTTGTTAAAAATTTTAATTTTTGTATTAAAAATTTGTTTTAAGAAACAGTAAAACCGTCCCAAATGAAGATTTAGTCGCTGTATATCTCTTAATATCCATTCACGGGCAGAATTAATACCTCTAAGAGCGCATGTGTTAACACTAATAGAGCGTTTAAGGCAAAGTTAATTAGCCCTAATCAATGATTAAAGCAAGCACACTGCACACATAGCATAGGCTGGCGGCTGGCCATTTCTTCAAGCATGTAGGGTATAGCAGCTGCCTGAGGCTTATTAAAATTTCCTACATATTTGGCATTTTTTGGATATAACCCGTGACAGGCAAGTGGCATTTATAATTAATTTATGTCATGACAAAAATTGAGTCATAATATTTTAATTTATAATTAGTTTTAAAATATTTTAATTTATTTTGAAGATAAGTATAACATATATTTGATTGATTCTGTTTCTCAAATAAAATTAATTTAATTTTGTATCAGTTTATTATTATTTAATTTTTAATTTATTAACATTTTTAAATCTTTTTATTTTGTACTATAAATAATTCATAGCATAATTACAAGAAAAAATTAGATATTAGTTATAATGGAATAAATTAAAATTATTAGATTTATTTTAAATTATTTGATACAAATTTTTAATATGCAACACTAATTGTTAATTTAGGTTCCTTTTTTTTTACTTATTATAACTATAGTCTCAGATTAATATTATTATTATCCTTTTCTTCTCTCATAAGAAAGTAAAAAAAAAATTAAGAACTTATTTAAAAATTGAGTTATAATAATTTAACCTAAAGTGAATCGAAATAAATTAATTGTATAGCATTGAAAATATTTGAATTGGGTATATTTATATATATATATTTATTGCTGTTTTGATTATTCATATATTCTATTTATCTCAAAATAAATTTAATAATTGTATAATCATACCGACGATAATGAAGCTTTTTTTTTTAACTTTGATTAATAAATTCGAGATTGTGCCATTGCAGGTATAAAAAGTTTGATTTTTATCTGCTAGAAAATACTTTTGGGGAGAATTCCAAATATGAAGTTGTGAACACTCATAATAATTTTCATATATATATTAAGGGTTGGTGTTGTGAACACTCATATTTCCTTGGGTGTTGTGGTTTTTGGTGATGCTGAAGTTGCTGTTGTTTCAACTTCGTCTGACACAGTTCCTTCCCTTGCTATCTCTGTTTCTATTGCTGCGACTTGTTCGGGTGGCTCACCGGTTGGTGTTTGTGATGCTGGTATGGGTGGGGGTCCTCGGTTTGTGGCTCCTAGAACTGAGGTTTAGGTAGATAATAATTGCTGTGTTAATTCTAGAGCTAATCCCTTGCAGGCTGTTAGTGTGGACTCTACAGATGTTATTTCTAACCCTTCAATTGATGGTGGTGATGCTAACTAAGGGGAGGTTGGTGTCGTCCCGTTGGTGGACATGCCTATTACGGTTATTTCAAACGCTGCTTTACAAGCCCATCTTGCTAGGAACAATGTTCGATGGCAATGTGATTGGCATCACGATGATTTGTCGTCTGAAGGGAGGATATTTTTTATAGTTGTTTAGAAACCTGCTCGCTGGATAATGTTGTTAGGAGTCGTAAACAGAAATCTAAGAATAAATGATTTATAGTGCCCATTTTCGTGGTTTGTGGTTTTTTGGCTTCTATCAGTTTTTGGCTGTCTTTGTTGTTTTGGATCGGGACTATGAGAAAACAGTCATTCTGCATGCACCTGTGATGGCTAGGGTTGGGCAATCGTGGTGATCTGCTGTTTGCTACTTGTGTTTGGTTTCTTGGCTAATTTTGGATCCTTGCTGGATGGTCCTTCCCCTGGCAACTAGGTGTCAGCCTGAGTCTATGTCGATCCGTTTTTGAATTTTGTTTCTCGTTGATTTTATGTCTCATGATGTGGCCCTGTCGTGTCGCTTTTCAAAATTTTTGTATATATATATAGGGTTGCATGAGTCGAGTCGAGCTCGAGTCTCCACTGCCTTTGGCTTGAGCTTGAGTTTGATTAACTAATTGAGTTCGAGCTCTAGGTCAAGCTTTATTTTATGAGATGATGTTGGTTCAAGCTTTATTTCATGAGCAAGCTATTTAATGATTATAATTCAGATAATTATTATAATAAAATGATAAAAAGAATGAAAATTTTGAAGAAAAATAATAAAGAATAACTTAATATAAAAAAAGGAATTTTGAAATATTTTTAACAACATTCGTATTTAAAATTAAAAACGTTAATATTTTTATGTTTATTTTATATTAATATTTTTACAACCTTCGTATTCTTTTAAACAAAATGAATATTTCAATCTTGCGGATCAAATAGGGGTGCAAACGAGTCGAGTCGAGCTCGAGCCAGGGGTTGTTCGAGTCGAGCTCGACTTCCAGAAACCGAGCTCGAGCTCGAACTCGAGTCGAGCTAAAAAACCGAGCTCAACTCGTCTCATGTCGAGCGGCTCGTTGAGCTCAATTCGAGCTAAAAATGTCATCGTGTTCGCTGTCGTGCCGAACCCTGTCGTCGTAGGATCCGCTTTCATCCCGAGGTCCGTCATCGACCAGATTCGTCCGCCCGAGCTCGCGTCGAGATCTGTCCGCCCGAACTCGCCGTCGCGTTCGTTCGTCGTCATCCTGAGCTCCGCCGTCGAGACACATCCGCCCGAGCTCCGCCGACGAGATCCGTCCGCTCGAGCTCGACTCTTCATCGTCCCGAAGCTTTTCCGTCGAGATCTGATTCCCGAGCGCGTCCAATCGTCGTCATCCCGAGCTTCGCTGTGGAGATACGTTCGCCTGAGCTTGTTCGACGTCGTCCCGAGCTGCGCTGTCGAGATCCATCCGCCTAAGCTCGTTCGGCATCGTCCCGAGGATCTACCGTCGAGATCCGTCGTCCGGAACATGTCTGTCGTCATCCCAACTCCCGAGCACATCTGTTCGTCGTCGTCCCAAGCTCGTTCACGTCGCCCAATCGAGTTGCTCGTTGAGAATATTTTTTTTACTAAAAAATTGATTCAAGAAACAGTCAGAAAACTGTCCAAAATAAAATCTAAATCAAACTAACTCGATGAATACACATCATCAATATTAAAATTGAGTAGAAGTGATTGTCTCCATTAGGAGAGTTTTGTTAGAGAGTACTAATCGACCTGAGATGAAGCAACATTAAGTACTTGAAAATTGAAATAACAGATCAACTTACTTAGGCTTCATTTGAGACGGCTTTGTTATTGCTTCGTAAAGCAACTTTTTAGTACAAATATTTTAATTTTTTACTAAAAAGCTACTTTAAGAAGCAAGAAGAAAACTGTTCCAAACGAAATCTTATTAATCTCAAAAGCTGAATGGGTACCCTCAATGAGAGCTGTCAAGGTGACTTCTCGCAGCAAATCGATTAAACTTGTTAAATTCAAGTGAGTTTATTAAAAAAATCATAACGCACATTTAAAAATTCTAGCTAGCATATATTTTAATTTATGAAAAATACAACAATTTGTATTGTTTTGTAATTCATATATATATATATATTTATCTTTATTATAACATTCCTATGGAATTATACTTCTACCCCTTTAAAGGTTATAGGACAGGCTTAGGACACAACTTATTGAACCAAGCTATCTACTTTCTAACAATAAGAAATCACATAATTCTCTCCATCTGCCTCACAATCTTTATCCCCTGCCTCTCAGTTTCTCATAGCCAATTTTACAAATAAGATTTAAACTTGTTGAACGCTCAGATCGTTTACAAACTTAGCTTTGTCTTTCATATGACAATCATAATTTTTATTTAGGTTTCGTTTGTGTCGATTTTCTTATTACTTCTTAAAGTAGACTTTTAGTATAAAACAATTATTTTTTGTACTAAAAATTGATTTAAGAAGCAGTAAAAAAGCTATACCAAATGAACCCTTGATAACTATTTTTTCACTTTTTCAAAAAAATTTTATGTTAGAAAATTTCTATTGAGAATAATTTTTAAAAAAATTACTTTCTACGCATCAACTTTATAATTATTTTATAAAAAATATATATAGACATCTACAAAGGAACATCAAAATCATCTGGCAATAATGTTCAAAAGGCCACGAATCGATTTCACGTGACCAGTTTTGTTGAACTAACCACGCTGGGCCAAACAATCGCCTTAGCTACATCGATCTAAGAGACAACAATGTCAACCCGCTATTGCTTCCTTGTCCAAGTAGCCAAGAGGAAGGTGGACCGATACCCGAAAAATTATTCTATATGGACACGTATGATGTTAGGAAAACAATCAGAACGAGTTATGTCACTTTTATTTACAAAATGACATGACACATTTTAATTGGTCTCCAAACCCGCACATAATAAAGATCCACTGATTTTTTCTCAACATGTAATTATGCGCTCGAGGGAGTCAACGCTGGCCCTGCATTCGCGATTTCATTACCGTGCAAAAATGCCCAATTTATTTTAGCTATGCAACATCAAAGCAAAGAATTCATAAATATATGACTTCAATAAAAAAAAAATGGCAAAGCAATCTCCTTCTTGAATTCAAATGTAAACTTTGAAAATCTGTTCGGCGGCTTCTACAGTCTCTTGATTCATTAGCACTCAAATGAATCTTCCCTATGTCGTCATTGTCCCTTTACACTCTTCTTCCCCAACCATAACCCTAGGAATTCCTACTGTTATTCAGCCATGCCGAGATCATGCTCCGTCGCCGTCATCGGCGCCGGTGTCTCCGGCCTATCCGCCGCCCGCGAACTCCTCCGTGAAGGCCACCGAGTCGTCGTCTTCGAAAAATCCAACCGCGTCGGTGGCACCTGGGTCTACAACCCCCACGCCGACTCAGACCCATCGGGTCTCGATCCGAACCGACGGATTGTTCACGGCAGCCTCTATCGCTCGCTCCGCACGAATCTTCCCCGCCCGCTGATGGGATTTTCCGACTACCCGTTCCCGGATCCGGAGGCCAGCTTTGGCGATCCTAGGGCTTTTCCTGGGCACAGAGAGGTTCTTGCGTTCATCGAGGCGTTTGCGCTTGAAGAAGGTGTGATTGACGTGGTGAGGCTTGGGGTAGAGGTGGTTAGGGTGGAGCGGGTTGGGGAGAGGAAGGACCAGTGGGTGGTGGAGTGGCGGCGGACGTTGGAAGCACATGAGGCGCTGGAGACGGAGGGTTTTGAAGCGGTGGTTGTATGCAACGGCCACCACACGCAACCGCGGTTCGCTGATATTCCCGGTGAGCCGTCTGTTTTCTCAAGCCTATTTGTTCAAAACCTGCTGAAATTCATGTTTATGTGGCATCATAATCGGGATTAATTTTCCTGTTTCTTGTGTATTATGATTGGATAAATAAATAAAAATAATAAAAAAATTTCCCAAAAAAATAAAATTTTGACACGTAGGCATCATTTTAGTGATTATTTTTCAAAAAGGTTTGAATATTGCAGATTTACTGTTGCAAGTAAGATGAAATTGTGAAATATTTCCCCATCTTAAAATCTGAAATTGAGGTACGGGCTACACAACAATGTATTTTTTCTCTTGTTCTTTTTATAACTGTTGCGCTCTGGAATATTCGCGGCAGTAGAGAAATATATAGTTTAAAGTCTTAGCGTTGTACGAAGATCTAGCACGCAATCAGATGAAAGAGAGAGATTGTAGTGTTCATAAGAGACATCAGAGTTTTAACGTGGAAACCCCTGAAAAGTGGGAAAACCACATGGCCTAGCTAATTTGAATGAATCCACTACTATTTGCAGTCAATTACAAATGAGGCCCTTCCTTGGGAGAAGGCCTTGACTTGAGGTAATAAATGTACATCATATAGAGCGCATTACATGATGGGAGTTACAATAATCAACATAAATACGTTTGTTTAGTCGGCAGGACCATAGTCGATAAGATAGAGGTCGGAAAGACTGTAGTAGGTGACGGGGGTCGGAAGGATAGTAGTCCGCAGGAGATAGGGGTCATAAAGACCGTTGTCTGGCGGCGGGTTGGTGACAAAGATCAAAAGGACTATAGTCGACAGGAGACAGGGGTCTGGAAGATCATAGTAGTAGGGCGATACTCCAGTAGGAAGATCATAGTACAGGTGACAAAGGTCTGGGCCTCAGGTGGTGGTCCAGCAGAACTCCGGGGGTCAAATGGTGGTCCGACAGATGTCTGGGCCTCATGTGGTGGTCCGACAGAAGTCCGGGCCTCAGATGATGGTCCGACAGAACTCCGGGCGTTAGGTGGTTGTCCGGCAGATGTCCGGGCTTTAGGTGGTGGTCCGACAGAAGTCCGTGCCTCAGGTGGTGGTCTGACAGAATTTTGTGCGTCAGGTGGTGGTATGGCAGGGAACTCAGGGCCTCAAGTGATGGTCCTGCGGAACTCAGGACCTCAAGTGGTGGCCCAGCAAAACTCAGGGCTTCAAGTGGTAGCCTGGAGAAACTCCGGGCATCAGATGGTGGTCCAGCAAAAGTCCGGGCCTCAAGTTGGTGGTCTGGGAGAACTCCGGGCGTCTGGTGGTGGTCCGACAGAAGTCCGGGCCTTAGGTGGTGGTCCTGGAGAACTTCGGGCGTCAGGTGGTGGTCCGGCAGAAGTTTGGACCTCAGGTGGTGGTTAGGCGGAACTCAGGGCCTTAAGTGGTGGTCCGGCAGAAGTCCGGGCCTCAGGTGGTGGCCCGGCAGAAGTCCGGGCCTCAGTTGGTGGTCTAGCAAAACTCAAGACCTCAAGGGGTGGTCCGGCGGAACTCAGGGCCTCAAGTGGTGGTCCTGCGAAACTCCAGGCGGTGGTCGAGGATGAGCGAGGAGGCAAGAGTGATCTCCGATTTCTCTTTTGCTCTCTTGCTTGGAGCCCCCTTTCAAGAGGGAAGATGGGTCTATTTATAGATTTCCTCGAGTGGCATGACCCGTAAATAGGAGGAGGATCAAGGGCATATGGGGAGTGGCTTGGGTGGACAACCGATGTTGAATCCCTTGATCATGGACAGTTTGATGGACATTTGAATGTCTTAATGATGTCGGAATTCAGTGATCTTGGGCTCGTTGGATTCGTCTCGTCGAGCCGCTCGATTCGACTATAAGCACGTCATGTTTGGAAATCGTTTGGTAATCCAAATTGTGATTTAAACCCTCCAACGCTTCAGACTCTTGATTTGGACCCATTTGGGCTCAGATTGAGTTGAATTTGGTGTTGATGGGTTCATATTTCCGAGACACTCAGTTCGACTATAAGTTTGCTGAAATCAGAGTTCGGATGGCCCCAATTTTAATTTCGGACGTTTCCAATTTGATTTAGCCTCGAGATTTGTGCCCGATCAAGATATTTTTTTGATGATGTATCAATAACATTTAAATGTTATATCTTATTTGATCTTATGTTGAACGTGAAGTGATGGGGACATCAGATCTTCTTGGAGAGTTTACCAGAGACGCGGCCGTCGATCTACGGCCACGATCGAGTCTTTATATTTTTGGGTCGATGTATTTTATTTTCATGCATTTTATTATTTGCTTATGTGTATTTTAGTATTTCCCGTCGTACCCCTTTTTATGTGAGTTGTCATGTGTAAGCCTAAGGGCAATGGTGTCATTTTATTTGGAGTCTTTTGTATGAGGCTATTTAAGGCTTCTTTGTTTTGTTTTCAAGGTTAATGAATGATTGCTTCTGATATTTTCCTCTTGAATGAGTTTGTGAGAACTTGTGAGTTCTAATGGAGAGAGATCCTTAGGAGAAGGAGATTTGCTCACTACCCACCAACCTTGGAGACGGCCGGGTTCGTGGTCTTTATTCTTTAAACTTCTCCTCCTCATCTTACCCATTACCGAACATCCTCTTCTCTCAACCCAATCTCCCCTTGCTCCCTTTCAGGTTCACGGCTAGACACCAAAACTGAACCCCTCTCCCTATCCTTTTCCCACGGCCAAATCCCCCGAACCAACCCTCATTGCCGCCAGTTCCAACTCCCATAGCCGCCGGTCATCACTTCCCCTTTCCCCATTGGAGCCTCTTGCCTAATTTGGACGAAACTATTTTGGGCAGATTTTAAAATTCAATTCCGTTAATTTGAATTTTGAAATCTTTCCAAAGTTATCCAAATCTATTTTTGGAAAGTTACTAAATTGATTCTATTTGAAATTTAAATTCAAATCGGATTTAATTAAGTCTTTCCTTATATCTAAATCCGAAATTAGGAACTCATATTTCTCTCCCCAATCCCCTCTTTTGCTTTTACTGCCGCCAGCCATCATATGAGGAAAATCGGGATGTATTTCCTAATTACCTGTTAAGTACATTAAGAAATAATTCAAATTATTTCTTTCTCATTGGCCGAATCTTCCATAGACTCCAACCTACTTATCTCTTGCCTATTTCAATTCTTTTCTTTTGGAAAGAAAGAATTACAATTTATGTAATTCTTCTCTGGCTGAAACCGTAAGTCATATCTTGGCTTATTACTTTCCTAATACTAACGGTTGGCTTTAGGAAGTATGAGCTCATCCTCTCTCATTCCCGCCGACTCTCTCTCCTGGTCACGGCTCATTACTTTCTCCCGATTGCATTAGCTAAATTCTCTGTTTTTTTCAAAACTTGTAACAGAAGTTGGCTCTCAATTTTCTAGTCACAACCAAGGCTAGAGTCCTCTACTAGTTTTCTACATCCCAGCCTATCATAACCTGAGAATGACTCTCAGATTTTTCTGGATGAAACTCTGAAATTGTTTTCAGATTATAGGAGAGGATATTTGGGAGCTCGCATCCTCTCTCCTATCAAAAGAAACTTCTTTCTCTTTGTGACTATTCAAGAGACGCATCTTATTTGCATCAAAGGAAGCCATGGACGAAGACGTTGAAGGCATCAAGTGACGGATCTCCACATCTCTTTAAGCAAAGGTCTTTCTCCTCTCCATTTGCATTCAATTTCTTCTAACTCTAAATTCTCGATTGGTTGGTGGTAATCACGAAAGCTCTTTCACTTGCTCGCGCCAAACCTAGTCCTTTGTAGGAATTGAGTGTAATCTTCTATGCATCCTACGTCTCATTGTTAGACTAGGGATTAACTTGAAACTACTATTTTACATTGCCTTATTTTTCTTGATTACCTTGAATGTTCAAAACTTAGCGCATGTGATCTAGCCTATACAAGATTAACTCCCTCTTTGTTTGACTCGCCGTGGAAAATTGCTTGTAATTATAATCCAAATTTATTCTAATTGACGAATTGTGCAAAGCCTAAGTGAAACTCATAACATTACATCTAATTAGTCCTGCATCATGAAGTCATATCAAAACTTTATTATAGCCTAAGAAGGTTAAAAAGATAAAAGAGATAAATAGTTGCATTCTATAATATTTGCTATATTAGAGAAAGTATTTAATGTCCCGACTTTTTAAGAAGATCTAGCACACATATGAATAAAAGAAGAGTTGCAAGAGTCTGACAAAGTTTTTATGTGAAAAAATTAAAAAGAAAAAAATCACAATGGACTTAGGTGGTTGGAAAAATTTGAATTTATGGAGAATGAATTTTATCATGGAAGTTAGAAAAGCTCGCTCTATCAATGTATTACAATGGACTTAGGTGGTTGGAAGAATTTGAAAAATTATGATAGATTTAGGTAGTTTAAGTGTATGTTTCTCCTACTTGCAACTAATTTTATATGCAATTGGAGTTTCCCCAAACGAACTCGTAGTTTCGATTAACGTCAGTGATTCAATTGGTCTAAGTTGTTTCCGATAAGTTTAAGCCACAAGGAGTGATGAAAATCTCATGTAAACAAGTCAACGAAAGATACATAGTGTCACACCCCACCGCTGGTCCTGGAAGAAAATCATGAGAACCCAATGGTTGTGCGGGCTAAACAAAATTTATAAAATAATTTCAAAGCAATAGAAATATAAAATTTCAATAATTTGTGTTCACAAATAAATGATCAGAACATCTAAACCAAAATATAATACTAAATGACCACCAAATATAATGAAATTCTATTAGACAATTAAATAAATTAGATAACTCTAACCTTAAATACTTATCAAAGATGAATATGATGCATGAACGTAGAAGTTCCTCCAGAAGCAACGCAACTAGTAACCTGAAATTATAAAGTAATAGGTGCGAGTTTGCAATAAATAACTCAGTAGATAAAATCCTACTAAGTAAAACATAAATGACAAGGCATTGACATAAATATGAGAAAAAAGAGGGATATAAGTGAAAAATAATCACTGGACTATAATAGTGTCAAACAATGTATAAGATATGTATTTTTGAATGTATAATTCATTTGTTAAAGCTTTTTATATAACATAATTTATAAAGAGTTATTTGTGCCAACCAATAATTATTGCATTCGAATGCAAACACATTCACTTACAAGCATGCGATATTTATAATTCAACCCATGATTCATTAGTCATTTATTATTTTTCTCTCTCTTTATGTGTGTGTGTAAAAATTTATAGTCGTTTTGTTATAATATCTTGCCGGGAAAGGTAAGCATCAATCCCCAGGAAATTCAATGATTTCCTATAGAGTCATCACTCTGAGGACTCGTTGGTCCGGCTAGCCAATATCCAAAAAGATTACATACCTACATTTACATGCATCAAATACACAAACATGAATTATATGCAATATGCATATTGTATTTCTGTAATAATGCTTAAGAAGGGTTATAACATAATTAAGCTCAGTCATATGCATCACAAATTCATGATTTGTATGGCAATAACTATTCACTGTAATTGGAATAAAGTATGTGAGCTATTTAGAAATTTGTGCAACGACATGGAAGAGTTGACTATCAGATCATGTCAAAATAGTCACTTGAAATACTATGAATGGAGAAGCGTATACTGCATTTATTATCAGTAAGTAAAACACACAATAAGTAGCAAGGGATTGATGTAAAAGATCCATCCACTCTCCACAATAGTTTGTCGGGGTGGATAAATTTGAAAATCACTTCAGCTCATAAAGAACAATTGTTCAATCAAGAATATCACTAGGATTCATTATCAAATAATTTCTTACCAGTAAGGACATGATATGTGTGCTCTAACTGATAGTTTTGCCACCAATGGCACTACAGATAAAGGTTATGACTGGGACCTCTGACCAGGTGATTTTGCCAATAAATGGTACTATTAATTTACCGTCATGGTCAGAGCCCGTAATTTCCCCAAAGATTTTAAATCCTTGAGTAATAAATTAATACGATATAATCCATAGGGAACAAAGCCGTTTATTAGCTAAGGTGGACTCAAATCTATCCTCTTAGGCAAACATTCACCCCAAGTCTATTAGATATCTTTGGACAAAACAACCCATGACCGCCGATAAGGATCCTTTGGTCTGGTTGGGTCGACTACCTCTTATGACTAACTAGACTAAGGACCATGATAACTTGGGATGACGGAACTATGGGATATTGGTTTGTTTAATCATCATTCCTCCACCAACCATTTAAGTGCGAAGGTGGTAAAATTTCAATTTCAATATCAAATTCTGCTTTTGCTACCATACGTTGGATACTACATATATGTTCAGCGACTAGTCTTAATTGAAAGTACTCTCTCGCTATTGGGAGCGATAATTAACTATAGAGACTTGCGCCAATAGGAAACAGAACTCGGATCATAAAATCCTCGCGAAATGAGTGCAAATTCTCTGGGTAATATTTTATCTAAAACCCAATATGCATTCTGAAAATTTACCTCAAAACTTAAACATGTTAAAACTCTCCTCGACGACACACATAAAAGAAAGGGGTTGCGAAGAGTCCGGGCGCGAATTTTTGGAGGCCACAGTTATACTCGTGCTTTAAATGGATTTTAGTTTGTTTGTGCTTTGACTTCCATTTACTAGCTGCACTGGCATATTTGCTGTGCCTTGAGTTATGGCATCATCTATAAGCCATCTAGCGTGTTCAAAATTCAGAACTTGATATTTTTGTCGAGTATGTGGAAAAAAAAAACATTGACCGATCTTGACTATTTCATCAATATTGTATCATTCATTTCTCTCAATAATCTCCCATACCACTTGGTTGTTGTTGTATAACATATTAACTATATGTTTAACTAAGCAGTACTGTGAAAAGCGCTCATTCTATTTTAAACTCTTTCTCCGTAGGTTGCAATTTTATTTAGCTTGAATATGCACTCGTACCTGAACTCCAATGGCAATATTGTATTCTGTTATAGTCGTATTTTACATTTAGGAATTATAGTCGCTCTTATTCGTCAAATTTTGCTTTGATAAAGAGTGTTTTATGTCTATTATTATGTCTTAGATTTGTTCTTCTTTGCATATGTTCACTACTCATGTTCAGTTTCGCAAATATGTGCAGGCATCCAAAAATGGCCTGGAAAGCAGATACATAGTCATAACTATCGCTATCCAGAACCATTTCAGGATCAGGTAGGGAGTTTTTTTGCGCTAAGAATGCATCCCATTATAAATGTTAAAGGATTGATTCTGCTGGTGATACATGTCAAATTCTTTGTCTTGATAGCTGTGGTTAATTGATGACTTTTGAGAACGTGAATATGAAAATGGTTAATTTGGAGTCCGAATTTGAATATGAGAGGATAAATTTTATTTTCATAATTTGGCACACAAATATCTAAGAGTGTAAAGAGGCCGAGCTTGAGCAACCTTTTTGTATGTTTGTGCTCAACTCGTTCAATTTTTCATTTATTCGAAATAAACTTAAGTTTGAAATTGTTCATGGACATTATGTTTGTGTTATGCTCATTTAAATTTGATCCGAATATGAATAACAAATATAAATAAATAAAAAATATGCCAAATATAATAGAATCATTCCACTTATCTACTAACTAATTAAAAATTTTGAAAATATATTTTATATATAAGCCAAATACAAACTATTCGAGAATGATGACCTCCCCACTAACATCAAGAATTGCCTTATTTTATCGTTTACTTTCAACGATTGTTCTCTGCTTTATTGTAACACAAAATAAGGATTTGGCAGGTTGTGGTCATTATAGGAAGGGGAGCGAGTGCCTTTGACATCTCTAAAGAAATTTCGAAATTGGCCAAAGAAGTTCACGTGGCTTCCAGGTCTTCAGATTTTGAACCTGGGAAATTAGATGAATATGATAAAATATGGCAACATTTGATGGTTATATCTTATTCTCTGGCTTTTTTTACTTATGAGTGAATTCTGATCATTTTTGCTGTTAGCCTTTCTTAGACGAAGCTTTTCGTGTATGATGAAAAAAGGAGCCAACTGGTATACACTTCTCTGTTTCTAAGCAGATAAAATGTGTTCATGAAGATGGTACTGTTGCATTCGAAGATGGTTCGGCAGTACTTGCAGATGTAATCCTCCATTGTACCGGGTAGGGTCAAGAGATCGCATTTTTCCTTTCCAATTGAAGTTTTATTTTTTTAATCCAGAAAACTTTATGTTTTGAGATTTTAGTGATATCGTCAAATTTTTCTTCAGTTTGTTTAACATGCTACCCATCTAAAGCTCATTTTATTTTTACAGTTATTCCTGCAGTTTTCCCTTTTTTGATGCTAATGAAATTGTAAACATTGACGACAACCGTGTTGGACCTCTATTCAAACATGTTTTTCCTCCACACCTTGCGCCATGGATCTCTTTTGTCGGACTGACGAGTAAGGTTGATAAATTTGATTTAATTTGTCTGCCTCCTTTACTCCTATGCCTTTCTAAGGTGGCCAGAAACATAGATGATCTTTAAGATCATGAACTTTGCATGTCGTGACTCTAGAAAATGATCTGTAGCAGATATTAATGTAACTTCATTGCTCAAATTGAAATTTTTTTTGTATGTTTTGGTTCCAACATGCTGTGGACAGAACTTCTGTCCACCGTTTTTTCCTTTAGATGCGTGTTAAAAGCAAAACATTTATGAGTATACTTTGGATAATTCTTCTTTATTTTCTGCATAATTTCAAGTCTTTAAGTAAGCTAATATAGTAGGAATTGATCTAATATAATGTAACAAACACCATAAAATAATGAAAGTTTTATTTATAATAATAACCCAGATAAGTTCAAACTTAAAAGATGATTCCTAGCCACGGAAGTGGGCAATCCAAAGTATACTCATAAATGTTAGAAGAAGAGTTTGGTTGTTTCCTAGCCAATGACTATTTTCTTGCGATGAATCAGAATAACCATTTTTGAAAATCCATCTAATAACACATAAAAGTAGTCATTTCCTCTCTTTGTTTATGGAAAGCCTCCAAAAAATTCATGGAGAGGCTTTCCTATGGACGGCTTGGTATGGGCATTGGTGTGTACAACCCTAGCTTCTGATTTGATAAGAGTATGCATCCGTTGATGTACTTACTCATATTTTTCTGCTTGTTTGGCCAATATACATTTTGTTGTTGGTTTTGGAATGTCTTCACTACTATGATGTGTCCAACCATCTTAGATTTGTGTTCTCCCTATATTCATTGGATTAGTTCTGTAGAATTTAAAATGAGAAAAGGATCAAAATGCTCTCTTAATTCTTTAGGTAGGATCAAATAGTCTCTAACTATGTTGAGGGATCATTTTGATTACTCAACTCTTAAAAAAAAAATCAAAATAATCCCATTGTTAATTTTTTTATGATAAAAATTAATAAAGTAACGAACACATTGATGACGTGAGGTTATATACGGAATAGTGTAAATTCGTCAAAGCAAGTTGCAGTAAATTTCGAGAGCTGCAATTGAAATTGAAGGAATTTTACCTAGTGAGAAACTCCTTGCAACGTCGAAACCCTAGCAGAGACCCAATTATAGGATGTGAGCATTGAATCCCAACGTTGAACTCTAGCAAAGTCGAACCCCAGTAGTTGACTGTTCTTCACAGCCTTAGGTAACATCGAACTCTGGCAGTCGAACTCCAATATGGAACCCTAGCACCGAACTCCAGCAACATCGTCGTACTTTGTGTCCGTAGGCAACATCGAACTCTAGTAGTCGATCTCCAGCAAAGTTGAACCCAACAGCAGGAAGGAGACACATCCATGGAGTCGACGTCCATTGGCGGGAAAAAAATTGTCGCACACCAAACCCCAACTTGCCCTGTTATCACGTTCGATCGGACACCCTCGCGATCAGCTGGGTTCGATAGAGCAGCAGGCATTGGGAGGCATTTTTTTTTTAAGTTCATATGTTTGAGATGTGCCGTTAGGCTTGTTTTGTTATGGCAAATTAACCAATGATTGCTCTTATAATGAGTTTTGCCTTTCCTGCCACTACGTATCTGCTGCATTTCTGCTATTAGATATATATTGCTTGGTGTGTATAAAAACACTTCTAATGGTTTGTTTCAAACATAGGATATGATGCTCTACAGTTTTGGCAACCTTAAATCAAGCTAGATTATTTGAAGTTGATTTTGTTGTTTTTCAATTAAATATGTAATAGTATAGCTTTGTTGATGTGAAACCAACATGCGCAGGAGCTCATTTAAGAAATTTTAAGAATAATTGACAATGAATTACCAATTAATAACTTATCGAAATAACAAGCAAGTTCATCAAAGAATCTTAGTTTTCAACTAGCTTAGGCGAGGAAGTTCATCTAGATTAGCCAAAACTCCTAGGTAACCCAAAGATAGTAGCAATACCAAAAGCTATTAATCAACAATCCACAACTTAATAAAGAGATCTCTTTGTTTATGGAAAGCCTCCAAAAAATTCATGGAGAGGCTTTCCTATGGACGGCTTGGTATGGGCATTGGTGTGTACAACCCTAGCTTCTGATTTGATAAGAGTATGCATCCGTTGATGTACTTGCTCATATTTTGCTGCTTGTTTGGCCAATATACAGGTTTTGGAATGTCTTCACTACTATGATGTGTCCAACCATCTTAGATTTCTGTTCTCCCTATATTCATTGGATTAGTTCTGTAGAATTTAAAATGAGAAAAGGATCAAAATGCTCTCTTAACTCTTTAGGTAGGATCAAATAGTCTCTAACTATGTTGAGGGATCATTTTGGTTACTCAACTCTTAAAAAAATCAAAATAATCCCATTGTTAATTTTTTTTATGATAAAAATTAATAAAGTAACGAACACATTGATGACGGGAGGGTATATACGGAATAGTGTAAATTCGTCAAAGCAAGTTGCAGTAAATTTCGAGAGCTGCAATTGAAATTGAAGGAATTTTACCTAGTGAGAAACACCTTGCAACGTCGAAACCCTAGCAGAGACCCAATTATAGGACGTGAGCATTGAATCCCAACGTTGAACTCTAGCAAAGTCGAATCCCAGTAGTTGACCGTTCTTCACAGCCTTAGGTAACATCGAACTCTGGCAGTCGAACTCCAATATGGAACCCTAGCATCGAACTCCAGCAACATCGTTGTACTTTGTGTCCGTAGGCAACATGGAACTCTAGTTGTCGATCTTCAGCAAAGTTGAACCCAACAGCAGGAAGGAGACACATCGATGGAGTCGACGTTCTTGGCGGGAAAAAAATTGTCGCACACCAAACCCCAACTTGCCCAGTTATCACGTTAGATCAGACACCCTCGCGTTCAGCTGGGTTCGATAGAGCAGCAGGCATTGGGAGGAATTTTTTTTTAAGTTCATATGTTTGAGATGTGCCGTTAGGCTTGTTTTGTTATGGCAAATTAACCAATGATTGCTCTTATAATGAGTTTTGCCTTTCCTGCCACTACGTATCTGCTGCATTTCTGCTATTAGATATATTGCTTGGTGTGTATAAAAACACTTCTAATGGTTTGTTTCAAACACATAAGGGTACAATAGGAAAACATAAAAAATAAAATGCATAAACAACTAGAAATATAAGCTCTGAATCGTGGCCATCGATCTGCGATGCTTCCGGCAATACACATGCTTGAACCTTGGATCGATGTCCTCATCATTTGTACTTTTTTTTTGAATGATTGTATTGGATATTTTATAAACTAAATAAAGAAATCATTACAACTAAAACTTCTAGATAAGCAGACCTGGATACTAATCCTCTCTTTACAAAAGAAAACAGAGGAGAGATACACTATTTAAAAGAAATAGCAATTAGGATATCTTTTGGCACAAATATTGGCCGTTAACATAACTAGGAAAGAACCTAATGAAGACTTGTTCCTACTCTGGTTATTTTTTCGTAATTCCAACATCTTCAATTCTTTTACCAAAAAAGTGCAAGTCTCATAATGAAATTGAGAATGAACAGTTATCTCCTTGATCAAATTAGGGTGATGAGGACACCAAAATGTAGAGAACAACCAAATAAGTTGGTTAACATCCGGTTTTCCCAATTAGATGAAAGTTGACTAATAGTATCCCAAAACACTTACTTGAATCACAACATTAGTAGTAAAGGAACGAATAGTTCAAATAGAGATAACCAATCTACCCTCTTGTGCTCTTGGAATGAAGTGCACATCAATTGCCATTGCCGACTATGAAGCACCTTAATTATAATATCTTTTATTCTACTAATAATTTTAACTCCATTACTAACTTACATATACGGTTAAATGGTTTGAGTGCTGTATTAGTATGAGTTAGATGTTGGGGTCCTACAATATTAATTATATAGCATTGGTGGTATATTAATAAATTCTTATATTTGTGGTGGTTTGTTACGACAAATCTCTTTTAAATTTAATTTTTCATTTAATTTTTTACCACTATTTCCTTAAATACTCTCATAACCAGTATAATCAGGATAAATTCATCAATTGTAGTAAAACGCCTTTTTTGTTCTTCTCGTGAAACTTTTCCATAGAAGCTCTTCTATTATTGTTATTCTCCTAATAGTTCATTTTTTATCCATTTTATAAAATTAGAAATTATTCCCATGGACGAATTTGAAAATATTTTTTCAGGCATTTAGGAGTTCTTGACTGTTGAATAGTTTGCTTATTAGTGCTCAGGGTCCATTTTGTTGCTTGCATATTAAAGTGCAATTTAAAAAGTGAAATTTTTATTCTCCTTTTGTTTGAACAAAATCTTTGCTTGTATGAACAAATCAAGATTACAAAGATACACTAAATCAAAAAAGTTTGACGAGATCAGGGTAATATTTTCAATAAATGAATTTATTTTTTGAAGTTTTAACTTAAATTTAATGAATTAGTTGTGTATAATATTTTTTTCAGAAATTTTAGAAATAAAATATATAATGATTATTAAGAAGCATTACCAACTGAGTGGCTTAAATATTCAAACTTTGCTCTATTATTTGGTGGTTTAACCAAGATGATTAATATAAATACAGATAAGTGTGAAAAGAGTAATTGCGATGATAGTGATGATGTAGGCTATACTTGTATTGATTCAGATGAATCTAAATATTTTGATGATAGTGATTATGAGATTAAAGATGGTGAAAATTAATTCGAAAATAAAGTTGATGATTGCATTGAGTATGTAGGATCTCAAGTTAAAGGAAAATAAACCATTAAATCTATTGAAGAATATCCTACTAAAATTTTAAAGGGGAAATAATGTGATATTGATTATGTGAACTCAGGTGATGATGTTACCATATATGGTAGTGAGGAAAATGAGATTTGGAAATGTTTGGCCTTAACCCTATGGTAGATTCATCAAATCACAGTTTCGAAATTGGTATACTTTTTAGTGGTAAATAGAAGTTTAAAGAAGCAGTTAAGAATTAGTCAATTTTTTAAGCGACAACGAGGGAAAATTCTTACAACATTTACACTTGATGACATCAATAACATATTTTTAATTGCATGGGCAGTAGTTGAAGCCGAAAGCAGAAGCAACTGGGAGTGATTTCTGAGCTTGTTAGGCAAAGATCTACAAATATTAGAGAGTCAACATAACTTTACTTTCATTTCAGATAGACAGAAAGGCTTAATTCTTGCTTTTGAGAATGTTCTTCCTAATGTGATCAACAAGTTTTGTGTCAGACATTTGCATCAAAACTTTAAGTTGGCAGGATTTATTAGTATGACATTGAAGAATGCATTATAAGCAGCAACAACTGTTAATCTGTTCACATTTATAATGAAGGAGATAGATAAATTGATATAGCAGTATTTAGATGATTAAATGAGAAGCCTCCAATTGATTGTTCGAGATCATATTTTAACTTTATATCCAAATGGGACACTTTTTTGAATAATGTATTTGAAGTTTTCAATTTACTCATTCTTTATGCTATGAGTTGCCTATTGTGTCACACTTGAAAGTGTTAGAACTTTGGTCATGTCAACTTCCGAATGTAATGAGAAGAAAAGGAAGGATTTACATAAATATAATGTTTTGTAACAATAAAAGAGTACTTCATTTTATTGTCTTATGATACATATCAATAGAATTAATGAATTTTTAGCTTTATTTAATGTATTATTGTGAAAATCTTTTAATACTAATGCACTTTTATATAATGAAATGGATGGTTCTCATATCACCTTGTGAAGAACTTTTATTAATTTTTTAGTATTGCTTTAATTCTTGAATTATAATACTGTGGACCTTGCAACAATAGCATTCATGATTGTCATAATATTAACCTTTTGTTAACTTTTACTTGTATGTATTGTAGCTGGGAATTATGTTTAGATGGTTGTGAGGAAGATGAGAACATTATAACTAATAAATATAAGGCATAATCATCACTAAAGATAAAGAGATGATAGAGCATTATTATCTTGCATATATAGGGCGATTGATTGTGTTTAGGATGTTAGCTGGCAGCTCACTCCAAACAAGCATAAGCTTAAATTGTACACCCCTCAGTGTGTCTTGTCTAACTTATGATAAATTTTGAATATGTCATTTTCTTTTTGTAAGATAATAAATTAATCTTCAATCTTTTAAACTCAAATTTTTAATTCAATTTTCATAAGTTTAAAAAAGGTCTAATCATCACTAAAGATAAAGATACAAGCTTATACTCTTCAGAGTAGTACTTAGGAATCTCCTCTGTGCACAAAACTAAGAAAAGATTAATATAAACTCTTTAATAGAGAGTTTTTCTAAGTTGAGGCCTAGGTTGTAATTAATCACGAGGGTTTGCGCCCATGGGGAACCAACACGCATATCAAATAAACCTCATTCGAGCTGATTTATTAAATGAGAAAAATCTCGTGATTATAGAGTTATACATATTATTATCTATCAGATGTGTAGGTGAAAATCACTATTCTCTATGAATAGTCGTATGTATAATTTCATCTGCTCTCCCATTGGTCTGCTTGCATAGAGTGTAAAAGTTTACGACCGTTTTGTCCTATGGGATAGTGCGATTGTACTATTTGCATTCTGACCCCGCCAATAACATCCTTTTTGAGACCCACAAAATTGAAAAGCATGATTATCAAAATAAATTAAAATTCATCGTTATCTAATATAATTAATATAATTTTTTATCAAGCAGTAGTTCGTGGGGCCTTAATCACTCACATAAGATGTCTATTTGATGATCCGACCGAGCCTATGGACTCCTAGTGACATACTCTTCAATCTGATCTAATAAAGAATCACCATCATCAATTGTTTTGATGGAGAATTTGGATTGTTAAAGCTTCAACAAATATGATATTTTTGATCTTTCCATAATCAAGCTTATAGCCGATTTGAATGATCACCTATTAGATCTGATGCCCAGATCTGAAAACCATGCTTTTCACAGTAATATTTGATGGCATGATTCCTAATTTTATCTATTTTTATAAAATACTTTAACAAGTCTAAGGTGGTAATTGCGATATGGTTCTTGTCATCACTTAAGATTTATCTAATTAAGAGTAACCATGAAGCCAAAATTGTTGGATTTTGGCTAAGTTCTTAATAACTCAAATGAGAAGCAAGGCCAGTTCATGGAGTTCATGGCCTTATATTAAACTCAATACATTGATATTATGCATATTATTCGGAAGGATCAAGTAAAGACTTTGGCTCATAGTACTTACACTGATGAGATGCATATACTCTTGAGGCATGAGCAAAGCACCATATTGATCTACAGTTTTAAAAACATTTTATTTAGATTTTGTTTGGGGCTGCTTTCTTACTGCTTCTTAAAGCAGTTTTTTAGTACAAATATTTTATTTTTTACTAGAAAGTTGCTTTAAGAAATAGTAAGAAAGCCATCCCAAACGAAGCCTTAGTCCCTGAAGTGATTGTCCTCCAACATATATGTTCATTTCATTCAATTTACATGTAATTTTTCCCAAATATTTCTAACAAAATCCTCTAATCAAATGAATTACCTATTGCCAGTCCATAATTTTTCTGATGATTGAGTTGCAAAGCAAATGGGTGGCGAAAGTTTTGTCTGGAAAAGTAAAACTTCCATCGGTGGAAAATATGCTTTCATCCGTCAAAGAACACTACGTTACAATGGAAGAAATGCAGAGGCCTAAGCATCATACCCATTATCTTTCTCCTCAGGAGGTCTTAATCCTTTATTCCAAGTCTGTTTTTTCATGTCTTAAATGCTATAGAATATAAAACTTGTATTCTCAATTGCAACACAGCCTGAATATTTGAACTGCCTTGCTGCTGAGATTGGTTTGCCACCAATAGAGGAATGGAAGTTGCAGATGTACAGCTTAGTGATGAAGTGTATTATGTCCCATGATGGTGGTTATCGTGATAAGTGGGATGCTGATCACTGGATGTCACAATCAATGACAACAAATCTGAGGTATTCTTAGGCTCGTTTGGGACGGTTTTTTTACTGCTTCTTAAAGTGTCTTTTTAGCACAAAAATTAATTTTTTTTACTAGATAGCTGCTTTAAGAAGCAGTAAGAAAGTCATCCCAAATGAAGCCTTAATTTGATAATGGAAGATGCCACCTAGTCATGAACTCAGAAGTTACTGATGATTTTTTTTATGTTTTGGTTTTTAAATCTCTTTTTTTTCGTGTAGAGAAGGAACATTCAACATTGAATCGTTGCCAAACTCCTAGTGTGCTGGAAACACATTAATCAGTAAAAAAGCTTCAGGTCTAAAACTTGAAGCTCATGCCAGGTTTGTGCGCCATACTTATGTTGATTTAAAGAGAGAAAATAAGGTATTGAAAGCTCTACTACACGGAAAATTATTTTGTGTGGTCACCGAATGGCATCTAGAGGCTAATGAGAACACGTCACGTCATTTTTTTAATGTGCACCGCTCGGTATCGGGTGATGTGGCTCGTTTTAATTCGCCTATGGACTGTTCGGTGACTGCACAATAATTTCTCCTACTGCACCCCCGACCCTGCCAGCTTTTTCCACTTTCAGACATCTAGGTAGCTTTTTTTTTTATTATTATTTCTATTGACTCTTAACTGAATACTGCACGGCAGGGAAAATGATTTATGTAGTCGATCCCATATAGTGGGATAAATACTTGATATTATTGTTGTATTTTAAAAATTTCTTGCACATTATAATTATTTACTAATTATTTTTTTTGTGATGAAGAACTTTTTTGTAATTATATCGATTAAAATGTGTAGTGAAGCTGTTATATATGGTTTTTATTACCGGAGAAAATCTATTATATTGACAGTATTTTATGAAAGTTGCAGCAATCTCAAAGGATGCAACAAAAGAGTCACGAGGGAGAACTCACGGGGCAATTTCATGATCACAAGGTCATTTGTGTGCAGCATGGCATGCTAATAAATTGGTTATATATTATTTATTGTAGTATGGTTGATTTATATGGAGAAAATAATCAAACTTCGACTTCGTTTGAGATAGTTTTTTTATTATTTTATAAAACAGTTTTTTAGTATAAAAATTTAATTACAAAATTATTTTAGAAAATAATAATAAAATTGTCCCAAAGAAAATAAGTGGCGGAGCGACAGTGGGTCCTTAATGAGTTTGGAGTCCAGATTGAACTTGCCATAAGTTCCAAAATTTTATTAAAATTCTATATTAATTTTCTAATATTTTATGAATAATAAAATTAGATTTTTAATATATTTATCTAGCAATTTACTTGGTATTTTTAGTGTTGATACATCCTCGAAAAATTATCTTGATCGGGCATGAATTTCGAGGGAAAATCAAGTTGGAAACTTTCGAGATTAAATTTAGGATCATTCGAACTCTGATATCAATAAACTTATAGTCAAATTGAACGTCTCAAAAATACAAGCCCAACGACACCAAATTCAACCCAATCCTAGCCCAAATGGATTCAAATCAAGGATTTGAAGTGATGTTGGTAGGTTCGAATCACAATTTGGATTACCAAATGATTTCCAAAACATGATGTGAATAGAATCGAATTGAGCGGCTCAACGAGACTAATCCAACGAGCTTAAGATTACTAAATTCTGATATAACTAAGACATTCAAATGTCCATGAAACGGTCCATGATCAAGAGATTCAACATCAGTCATCCATGCAAACCACTTTCCTTTTGCCCTTGATCTTCCACCTATTTACATGTCATGTCACTACAACAAATCTATAAATAGAGCCCCCTTTCCTCTTAAAAAGGGACCCCTAAACCAAAGGATTTAAGAGAGAGATCGGAGATCGCTCTTGCCTCATTGCCTCCTCGATCACCACCCGGTGTTCCGCCAGACCACCGCTTGACAACCTGAGTTTCGGTGGACTACCGCATGATGCCCTGAGCTCCGCTAGACCACCACCTGATGTCATGAGCTTCTCCGGACCACCGCTTGACACCCCTGAGCTTCGCCGGACCGCTACCTGACGTCCTAAGCTCTGCCGGACCACTGCTTGACGCCCTAAGCTTCGCCGGACCACCGCTTGACTCCTTAAGCTCCACCGAACCACCACCTATCGTCTTAAGCTCCGCTGGACCACCGCTTGATGCCCGAAGTTCTACTGGACTATCACCCAACGCCCGAATTTCTTTCAAGCCACCTACAAACATCGGGTTCTATTAATTGACACTCGAACTTTCAAGTGATGTCAAAATTATCTCAGATCCCCGGGTGACCCTGAAGTTCCACCAAACCATTAAGTGACGTCAGACTTTCATTTACCCCATATTTGTGATCTAATTGCCCTCAGGGGCGAGTCCGCCCATTGTAACATACTTAAATTCTAGTGAAATCATTTTTAATTGGGTCAGACCCCGTGTTTTTTTCCTTTCCAGGATTTTTCACTTAAAAATTTTGTGTTATCTATATGTGACGATATCCGTGCAACACTAAGACGTAGAGTCATAACTTTATCTCCGCGTATATTCTAGCCCAAAACAAGTATCAAATAATAATAATAATAAAATAATAATTTATTTTATCTATAACTTTTTCTTAAAATTTTTATTAAATTTTAAGTAAAGGATATACCATAAAATTGAAATGAGGGCATTTAATACGGAATCAGGCGTCCGGGAAAATACTCATTAAATGAATGTTTTATCGAACTCTTAAGCTTCTTTTGAGATGACTTTTTATTGCTTTTTAATACAAAATTTTTTATTTTGTATTAAAAAATTGATTTTAAAAATAGTAATAAAACAATTTCAAATGAAATTTTAATTTGATGTATGTAATTGACTTAAATATTAGAAAAAAAAATTGTCTATCTGCTCCTAAATGTACTCATTAAATGAATGTTTTATCGAACTCTTAAGCTTCTTTTGAGATGACTTTTTATTGCTTTTTAATACAAAATTTTTTATTTTGTATTAAAAAATTGATTTTAAAAATAGTAATAAAACAATTTCAAATGAAATTTTAATTTGATGTATGTAATTGACTTAAATATATAAAAAAAAAAATTGCCTATCTGCTCCTAAATGAGTGATTCCTTAGCTTGATTTAAAGTTATTATTTTATGAAAGTAATGTAAAAGAATTATTTTTTTATTATATTTTTTACTTGAAAAATTGTATATGATTTGTATAGATTGGATAATGCCAACAAGAGAGACAATTCATTAGGTGGGTTTCTTGGTTCTCACCAACACTTGTGCACCAATCGTCAAAAGTAAGAAGAAATTATTCGTGTAAAGTTCGTACGTAGTTTACGTCCGGACTCTAATCAAAACAAGCCATCTCGCCTGTACACATCCTATCTATATACTCATTCACAAGGTGTATAATGCATATCTTATGCACAGATGACGTGACTAATTTTAATTAGAGTTAGAGCTTTAGTTCTTGATTATTAAATAAAAAATCATTTTAAATGTGAATCTTTTTTAAATTTTTGGGGGGAGGAGCACTATTGAAAAAAAAAAAACAGATTTGTTTTAAAGTTGCGATCGGATAAAATAGCTCCGCTTGAAATGCGATCTGTTTCTTTGGTCATCTATCGAGCAATCAAACAGTGGGCGGTTAATCACCCATTCTTCTCAAACCATGCCGAAATCCTGCTCCGTCGCCGTCATCGGCGCCGGCGTCTCCGGCCTATGCGCCGCCCGCGAGCTCCTCCGCGAAGGCCATCGAGTCGTCGTCTTCGAAAAAACCAACCGCATCGGGGGCACCTGGGTCTACAATCCCCACGCCGACTCCGATGCATCGGGCCTCGATCCGGACCGACGGGTCGCTCAAGGCAACCTATACAGCTCTCTCCGCACTAACGTGCCTCGCCTGCTTATGGGATTTTCCGACTACCCGTTCCCGGATCCAGAGGACAGCTTTGGCGATCCTAGGGCTTTTCCTGGGCACGCCGAGATTCTTGCTTTCATCGAGGCGTTTGCGCGTGAAGAAGGCCTGCTTGATGTAGTGAGGCTTGGGGTTGAGGTGGTTAGGGTGGAGCGGATTGGGGAAAGAAAGGACCAGTGGGCAGTGAAGTGGCGGCGGACGGCGGAGGACACGGGCACCGAGCTTTTTGAAGCCGTGGTTGTCTGCAACGGCCATAACGCACTACTGCGGTTCGCTGATATCCCTGGTTAGTCCGGAAAATCATTCCAATAGTACCCCAAATTTATAACCCATTTAAAAATTGAACTATTAAATTCGTGCAGTTGAGCTTATCACAACAAACATAGGTGTAAAAAATAAAGGAATTAGTGAAAGGCCCTGTGGATCATTGGTTAAAGGAGAGGACTAATTCTCCAATTTGAGCAATATATTTTGCGCTGCTCAACATTCAGAAAAAAAAAGAATTAAGATTATAGAGTCTTCTTTTCAATTGGAGTGATGTTATTAGTAACAGAGATAATTGTATATCAATTTAATAAAATTTTAAATTACAAATGCAACGGAAAAATTACAGCTTTATATTTTTACTCGTTGGAAGATCTGGCGGATAATTGATATCAACGCAAATTAAATAGTGACTAGCACTTAGATGAAATTCTTTAGGAAATCCCTCATATGATTTATGGACTGGTTGTTTTGTTTGTATATTTAACCTTGGTTGGTTGAAAATTACAATTAAAAAGCTTAATATTTATAAGGTGATTCTTTCTTGAAATGTAGTTGACTGAAGAATATGTGATATTAAGTAAGTTTAAGTGAAATGATCAAAACTTGAAATAAAAAATTTCAATTTTGATAGGAGTGAAATTTAAGTAGAGTCAAAAGCGATCAATTTGTATTCAAATTTCAAGAAAAATAGAGTAAAGCCTATTACTTTATAGAATATGTTTTAATAAATAATCAAGATAATATGCACAAAATATTAAAAGTTTATTTTTTAAAAATATATTGTCAGATTTTTTTTTTAAATATAAATGCATATGCCAACTATTTATGTGTTATATATATGTGCTTATATATGTATTTGTTGATGCGAGAGATAGATATTTATATTGGGAGATATGAAATATATGCTTTTATGTCATATTATCATATTATTTACGGCACAAAGTCTTTATTTATTTCCTTCTTTGTTCTTTCTTGTATGCCTATTTATAGTCGAGAACCTATTCAACATTAACAAAATAGTTTTCTCCCAACATGATATTAGAGCAAGGAAATTTTGAACATATTTTTTTCCCCATAATTTTGTGCTTTGGAAGATATTTGGCGCCTCTTTGGGTGGTCTTAATCTAGTTAAATGCCCGATGACATAGAAAATGAGTTCGCAAATAAATATTTAGATAAAAAATGAGTTTAGATGTCTTTCAATTTGAATGAATTTGTAGTGTGCTTGCATAAAAAAGTGTGCATGACATGCTTTACGATACTTCTTGGCAAGGTTTAAAATTTCGTATTCGGGTATTGAGTCATTTTTCGTTCATGAGACGAGGCGTAAGCCTCAAGGCGAGTTGAGGCGTAAGCCTCAAAATCAAAAAATTGCGTAAACATAAAATAATAAATTTTGTATATACTAATGAGTAAATAATATATAAAACATAAAAAATGCACAAGATATGAAGAATAGCAAATGACTTCACATATCAAATTAAGAAGCTTAAGAACACTCACTAGTCCTATCAACATTACTCATCACTCATCAGTGGTTGACCTCATTTTTGTTATGAGATCACTCGCGGGCCTAATCCTGACCCTTATAGATCAATCCTGGCACTCCGATTAATCCTGACCCTAAAATCAATTTAATCTTCAAACCAATCATTAACCATCTTAGGATCTTCTTTAGATTCCAGACCTCAGACCTATTGCTAGATCCTTAGCGATTCTTCTAGCTTCAGATCCTAGGATCCTAACTCTTAGTCTCCAGGATTCCTCCAAAACAAAATCTAGACCTTAGATCTATTCCAGGTCCATAGGATCCTTCTAGACTCCAGACCTTCAGGGATCTACTTTAGACCCTAGAATTTTCTAGACTTCAGGACTCACTTAGGATCTATACTAGACCCTAAGATTCTCCTTAGATCCAGACCCTTATGATCTTTCTCTAGTCCTTAGGAGCTACCTAAGACCTGTAGATCAATCCAGACCTTGAGATTAATTTAGATCTCAGAATCAATTCAAACTTTCAAACCAATTCCTGGCCCTTAAGCTGTAATCCAGATCTCAATCCAAATTAAACCTCAATTAAAATCCAGACATCCAGTCCAGTTCAGTTCTTAATTCTCCAGTTTCAAAACCCGTGATCTTTGTTCTGACTCAAACTTAACATTATCACAAGTTAATTATTGATTCCTCCAAAATGATCATAAATGATTTGGATAAAATCAAAAATTAATTAATCAAATCAAAAATCTAGATCAAATCCAAATATCCAGACCAAATCCTAAGTTCCAAAGCGCCCTGTCCTAAAGGATCTTTTTCCAGCGGATTTTTCAAACACTTCAAAACCCAGCTCAATTGACCTTGATTTCCAGTACGTCCTCTCGTCAGTTGCAATACTGATGGGACATGTTCTTAAGACAACTCTCAAAATTTGAGGCCCATTCCGACGATCTCTAACCCCAAAAAAAAACTAAATCAAAATCAAAAAGGCTGCTAAAAACCTTTTTAAACTATTTACAGCCTTATGCCACTGGGGACCTGGTCAACCCAGTAGATTTTGACCATTGGAAGCTTTCTTCAAACCCTCTAATCCACTTCCAGACCTTTAATCACTGATTAGGGTGTGATCAGTAAACCTGCATTTGTTGGGACTCATTTCAGCTCTCTAGTGGGACATGAGTGCTCAAAAATGACGAAAAAGAACCTCTTTGGGGGATATGAATTAATCGTTTTGATCAATGAGCTCCTAAACTGAATGCAACCACCTCCAGGCAAAGTTCTCAAATATCAAACGCAACCTGTCGAACCCATTCTCAGGCCTTGCGGCCGAATCTGGGGTTGACCAAGTTCAAAGCTGAGTTGACCTAAGAGGCCCTTTAAGGGTCCAAACAAGGTGTTTTGACCCAAATGACCTCTTTGAAGCCCATGGTTAAACCACTTCTATTGGTCTCAAATATCATTTCAAAATTGATGAGCCCATTTTTAGACCAGGGCGTCAACATCCTTTTTACCAATTGTCAACAGTTAGGTTGACCAAAATAGGCTCCTTTAAGGTCAAAATTAAGGCATTTTGACCAAATTAACCTTTCCAAACCATAGAACCACCTCAAACGACTCAAAACATCAAAACCAAACATTGTTGAGCCCAAGGCTCGGGTCCTGAGGCCAACCTGCAGGTTGACCAAGTCAATCCTAGGTGACCTAAATTGCCCTTTAATAGTTTAATAGGTTATTTAACATATTCAAACCAGTCCATCCCTTTCAAAATCCTCAAATCACTTCCGATTAGTTTAAACAGCCCCCCACATGCCATTGTCATCATCAATTTTGCACTGGTTTGACTAGTCAAACTCAGATCAAACAAATGGCTTATTGCTTCACAACATTGGCCAAATTTCCATGGTTTGAATTTAATACAAACCATTTTAAACCTCTCTTAAACTAATCTAAGTCCCTAATTTAAATTTCACTCCAGCGTTTAATCATCCATTCTAACGGAATCTTCCCTAGAGTAACTCCCTAAACCCTTGATTTTAAGATCAAGTGGTTTAAATTACTCCAAAAATGTCCAAACTGGGGACCAAGAGGCTTTTCCACCTCATGAGGTCCCTTGTGTACTTTATTCCCTGCTCCCAAACCACCCTAGCGGGCAGCGGTGGCACACTAAGAGCCCCTCCTGTGAAGTCCAGCCAGCCATATTTTATTTTTAAAAAGACATTTTTCCAATGGACGGTAAAGGCCTTGAACATCAAACGGAGACTAACCAGAGCTTCTCACACTACCTCCCTCTCATTCAAAAGGCCCATTTCCAGGCAACCCAAAAAGCTCTCAAAAATCTTCTCCAGATGACTCCTCTAGTTATTCCATAGCTTTCCCTAAAACTATTTTTTCACCAAATCCAAGCCTCCAAAAACACTCATTAGTTCGTAAGGAGAAGATAGTTTTAGGAGAGAGAATCAGGAAATTTCTTGTAATAACTCAACATCCAGCAAGATCCAGCTCTTTGGAGTCTTCAACAAAGTTTGAAGAGGAAACATTCTTACATCTTATTCATCCAAACCAAGCCCAAGTGAAAGTCAAAAAATCCATCAGGCTAGCATGTAAAGTATTTATCGCTTTTAAGTTTAAAATATTTTACAAATTGAAACGGCTGTAGAATATCTACAGTGTAGTGGAGCCTTCAAATTTCGCAATAACATTGGGAAGCATTATGTTCACCATCAATCTATGTTCTTCAAATTTTCATTTGGAAGTTTATCGGTTAAGTATTTAAGACAGTTATAGGCATTTTCACAAAACTACCTTCCAGTCCTCGGTCAGATTTCAGGACCGTCCGAATTGCATCATCAGACGGTCACAGATTCAGATCCTGGAACCCGCGCTGCACTCACCTGGGCATTCCAGAAACACCGGGTCTCGCTGGCCAGGACCGGCAGGCAAGGTGACGCTGGCGCCATCTGGGCCTCCGCGCTCGGATTCGGATCCCGTATGTGGATCCGATAATCGGACGGCGTGCCGTTTCATCGCGACGTGGTCTACAGTGACCATCCACAGGATCACGCCACCACGTAGTCAAGGCCGCGGAACACGAACACGCAAGCACGCCGCCCCGTCCAGCCAATCATTTGCCAAGATTGTCTCACACCCAGGCCCGGCACGCCGCCGGCGGCGCCTCCGAAGCTTTGACCTAACTAATGATGAAAACTCATTTAAAAAGCCCCAAAAAAACTTACCTCAAAATTACATGGTAAAAATCCAATTTACCACAAGTTCTTAGGGCTTGTTGGAAAGCTCTTTGAGCTTCTATTAGTGCGACGTTTTATTTGCACAATTCATAATAAACAATATTTTTATCACTGGTTTTTGAGGAGAATGTTGGAGTTTATTTGAAATCCAGATTTTTCTCAATTTTCTTTCAATCAGTGTGTCAAATGATGTTAAACATTTTGATGTGAAACACCATCTTTGGACTATCTTAGGGCATATCATGTCAACGCTTTTTCCTTAGGTCAAGATTGTCCCAGTTGCGTATGTCTGTGGGCGTGAACTTTACAAAATTATTGGGTCCATTTTGGACACCAAAACTTTGGGCACACATTCATAACTCTGCCAAACTAGATCTAGAATTCAGGCTTCCTTAATTTCTGTGCGTGTGTGTGTATGGCTAACTAGGGTTAGTATATGTAACAGAGATTTAGACCCTAATTTGATCACTAAAGCACAGCCTCAAGAACAATAAGTGAACCGCG